AGATGAGACTTCATAAAACTAAAGGATGACACATGACTAAGAAGTGTGCCTTAGATGGAACAAAGGACTTTGCAGGTAGCTGGATCTGGCTCCACTATTGCACATTAGCTGTGTGATTTGGGGCAGAATACTTTCAGGGTCTCAGCTTTCTCATCTGTAAAATGGGAACAATGATAGTGTATACATAGCAGGGCTATTGTGAAAACTAGGGAAGGTAGGAACAGATGGAAGGAACACTATGCCAAGTGAATAATAGCTTTGGTTAGGGAAAGGTGAAACCTCTTTCATTTGTAAAAGGTTATTTGTGATTTATACACAGGACTTCCTCGGTTCATGTTTCAATGTGAAGATAGGGCTTGTCAATGGTGAAGTGCTGAAAATGTCAATTTAAGTCAGACCTACTTGTTCCCCCAAAGCCTTGCTTCTGGGTAGAACTTTTTCAAGTTTTTGTTCTTCGTTTCTCATTTCACATTCTCTTCTCATTACTGCATCTCACTCCTCAGAGAGATAGGGAATTGGCAAGACTTCTGTGAGGATGAAAGACCCTGAGGGCCAACCAGCATCTTTTATGTATTCTTCTTCCAGAAGAAATGTGGGCAACCCTAAGGAAGCTGGATTGGCCCTATCCGACTCACTATAGGCCTTTTTTTTTAAAAAAAAATTTGTTATTGATTTCAAAGAGTGAGGGAGAGATAGAAACATCAATGATGAGAGAGAATCATTGACCTGCTGCCTCCTGCATGCCCACACTGGGGATCAAATCTGCAACCCAGGCATGTGCCTTGACCGGGAATCGAACCATGATCTCCTGGTTCATAGGTCACTGCTCAATCACTGAGCCACCGTGGCTGGGCACTATGGGCCATTAAAATCTATTTAGCATTCAAAGCCAACAGCTGGTTTGTTCATCTTTAGACCAACAGCCAGATTTCAGATTGTCCTCCATTTTACAAATCTTCTCTGAAGAAAATAAATAAATAAAATATCAAAGCAAAAAATAGAATGCTGGTCCCAACTAGTGTATTCTTTAGGGGCCTAGCTTGTAAGGTCAGATCTAAAAAACTTTTGTCAGTTGGATGCCCAGACACTCACAGGGAAAGAAAGTAAATGCATTGATTCTTTTTTTAAAAAAAAAAATAATGAGCAAAATTTAGAACATTTATCAGTCAAAGGATAATCAACTCAGTTGATTTATCAACAAGCATGATCAACTCAGTTGCCATTAGTGAGAAGCATGAGGTTTTCACTGAACTTGGGGAACACACACACACGCTCACACGCACACATGCGTGCACACACACACACACGCACACACACACTTCTTAAGTGATTCATACTAGCTTTGGTTCTTTCAATGTTGAAGAAGTTAGAGCCATACATAGAAGTGGATTTCCTTTTACTGTCACCCCTCTTCTCTGGGTTGGAATGGAAAAGTCTTGGACCTTGAGAAGTTCTCCTTGCTGTGTCTATGTGACCCATTTATTCATTTGGTACATTTGGGACCATCCATGTAATGAGTTTGGGCAAACGTGGAATGAGGAATTCAGGTCTTCCTTTGCCCTGAATTCTGATTCACCTCTTTGGCTTTGGGAGAGGGCTGAGAGGGCATTTCCAAATGTGTCGTAAATGTGTTTGCCTCTGGTTTGCCTTGTGTGGATCAGACCCAGCCAACCTGGTGAATCAATGATACCACTTTGGGAAAGGGCTCTGGAAATGGAGAAGAACATTGCTTAATCGCACTCCCTCCCTCCCTACCAGCAGGGCTGCACTTGACCACTCAGGGTGTATGTTGTTAGTCAAGGGAACAAATGCTAATCAGCTCTTCCTCCCCAGGAAGTTGCACCAAGATCGTTTGGAAAACCAGATCGTGCACTATTTGTGAAAGTGAAACAGATCCTCTCACCATATCTGAAAAAATCAGAAGCTTTTTAGAATCATAGCTATTCCTTATTATAGCTCTGTGACAATGTAGAAACCTTAAATGCCTTCTGAATCCTCAAGAAACAGCTGCTGATAGCCAGTGATATTTTCATGGTGTATATTATTATGCTCTTCTGTTTCTCTGAAGATTGGGAAACAGTTTACTGGGAGAGGCAATTGGTTCTCTGAGAGGGATGCTGGAGGAGGACTGTGGAGACATGAGTGTCAATCCCCAAGCCTGAAGGGTTTCAATTTCAACCCTGTGAAATCAGGGGGTGAGGTGATCTCTAGGACTCTTCCAGTCCTGACATTCTAAGACTTGGCCTGTCTCTAGTACCTTGAAGAGTTAATTAAGCGGAGTTTTCGTTCTCTAACTGTGCCAGATAAATGAGCGAACTTACTCTATAAACTGAACGTCTCAAGCCAATAAGGAAAACCTACCCACATCTCAGACTGCCTTATGCTTGTTGATGTCAGAACAAGAATTATGGTGGGTAATCAGAGGAGGCCATGAAAAGAACAGCGTGTACCTGGCAGAATTTGTATATCAGTGCATTACAATTTGCCAGCGTGTTCTTGAAAGTTAAATCTTGCATTACATAATTTTTTAGCCCTTTCTTAAAAATGTTCCAGTTGGGTTGCAATGTTTTATGATTTCCCTTGCTTCACCGATGAACATATTGTCAATGATAAGGCTAAAATCCCCAGGTATTTTTTAATGTAAAAGGTTGAAGTTATGAAGCTAAAGGAGAAGGTTGAGCAAAGAAGCTGCTATTTAAAACATTTAGAAGGTACGAAGGTGTATGTAATTTGTGAAAGCGTTTCTAAAGTGAATGTGACTCACCACTCAAATAAATACAAATTATTTAAAATTATAAAGGGTTATCTTAGCAAAGGCTTGATTTTCCTTTCTTTGGGGATTAAAAAGGGGTATATATATATATATATATATATATATATATATGTAGGCATCTTTCTATGGTCTTATTTACAGAGATATATTATAATGTTGTCCTCCAGGGGGCGTTAAATCTTCAGCAAAGCTCCAAATTCTCTGAAGGTCTTCAAATCCAGTTAGCCCTCAAAGCTGACAGTCTGGCTTCCTTCTCGCTGGAATGCAGGAGTGTTGGGGCCCATATCCTGAATTTCACATCTCAGGCTCCTAGATTAGGCTTTAAACTTTTTAGAAAGACTAGGGTGGACATGAAAAACCAGTGGCGTTTGTGGGGTGGGGGGTGAGGGGGGGTGGAGAGGGAGGAGGGAATTGTGCCAATGTAGCCTGGTCTGAAAGCCCTACAGCAGGTCTGACCCTCATGGTTCATGCCAGTAACACTTTTAAAGACAATTGATATGTCTAAAATGATAGTGCTTTCTAAGGGCAGAAATGTGATTCCTGGAGGCCCAAAACTAACCTAATATGGATTAGAAAAGGTGATGTAGGTAAAAATGGCAAAGGATACCTCCTTCTTACCAAAGCCCCACAAAGGGCTATTTTTTTCTCTCTTATTTTTTTAATGCAACCATAGCTCAGAAGTGTGCAAACCTCTAGGTCTGGGAAGCCAACAACTTTATGTAGTAAAGTCTATGACTGTAAAGTAATACAGTACAGTGGTTAAGAGGTCTGTAGGTTCTGGATTTGACTGATTGGGTCTCATTACCTGCTTTACTTACTATAAGCTCTAGGGAACTGAATTCATTACGTAAACTCCCACGTCTCTGATTCCTCATTCACAAAAGACTATCTCATAGGGTAATTGTAAGGATTAATTAAGACAACCTCAAAAAAGTACCTGGTACATAGTAAGTGTTCCATAAATACCATCAGTTACTCCTATTCCTGAGTCTGGAACTGAGATCCCTATGGTCTGCCTCCAATTTGTCTCTCACTTCTCCCCCTATATAAATTCCTTCATCCCAAATACCTCCCTACACTTTTATCCCTTTGCTCTCTGCTTCCTCTGTCTTCCTTGGCTACATCACCATCTGATGAGATCCCACCCAAATATTGAGAATTATCTGTAATGGCACCCTAACATCTCCCCAACCCCCCCAAAACAACAACAAACACACACACACACACACACACACACACACACACACACACACTTCCCTACTCCAAGAACTAAATGAGCTTTCTCCTATTGTTCAGATATCACTGAACAATATCAGGGACATAATATCCTGAGGTATATACATTTTTTAAACCTAATACAGTGGGGCCTTGACCTACGAGTTTAATTCGTTCTGAGACCAAGCTCGTTAAGGAGCTCGTTAACTCAAATTACTCTATCAACTCAATGCAAAAAATCAGTCGAGAGACAGCTGGTATCTCAAAAAACTCGTTAGTCGGAACAATCGTAAGTCAAGGCCCCACTGCATGGGTGCATTTTTAAATATGTAGTTTATATCTCTTTAAACCAACCCAGTAGGAACATAATGAGAAGACCTCCATCTTTGGAGAGAGGAAGACTTGGTTCAAATTCAAGTTCCGATACTCTACCGGGCAAGTCATTGAAACTGTTTCTCCCACAGTTTCCTCCTATGTAAATGGGGTACAGTTGTCACTTTTTCATCCTGTAGTGAAGGCTGACAGACATAATAGTAGTATTAGAATGCCTTGCACCGTGCTTGCACACAGCTGATTAGGACCTTCCTTTTGACCATGGCTATTTCTGTTTGTCACATACCCCTGTTCACCAGAAGGTAACGTTGAAGACAGAATATTGTCTTTTTCTTTTCCACATTTCTAGAATAGAGTAGAAGTAGTGTGTTTAGCTATAAAAAGACCTTTATAGCTAAACACACCAACTTTTAGATAACAAACACCTGGAGGCATCCCAATTGATTAAGCCTCTGCAGAATGTGTATTCCCACCTGGGTTTACAAAGGCTCAGTACAGTATTCTAAAGTCTGACAGATACTTCACTTGGTAAATAATTCAGCAATGGCTCCCCAGTGTACAGTAGGGTTTAATAACACATCTTTCATTATGATAGTTCTTTAGGTTCAACCAGAGTTGTCTGTTCCTCTTTAAAGCAATAGAATGACTATACTGATTTCTTGACCAATAAGTCACTCTGTTTTCCATGGTTCAAAGTTAAGCTTTTATTTGGTTTTAAATTAAAAAAATAAATTTCATTATTAAATAGTGAGATGGAGCTAACTAATGTTCAGATAGTAGCTGACTCGGGAATATACCACGGGGGGTACAATTAAGGGGTGGATCACCTAAACTAAAATCATTTGATGTGTTGTCATGTCTATTAAAAGACCAACAATGGCATAATTCAAAAGAAACGGAGATACAAAGTTTTAAATGTTTACAATGGGTGGGAGAAGTAAACCATGTATTCTACTGCAATTGCACACAAATTACTTTCTCAATGCCAGTCAGTTTGGACACTATACCACAGTGCTAATGTCATCGGGTTCATCCGCTTTCTTTTGCCTGCTTGGCAGGGATTTCAAGTATTCAAGGTGTCTCCGGGCATCCTCCTGATTTTGCCTCACGTAATACACCACATATGAGATCACCATGGTGAACCAGCCAAACATGGTAACCAGCATGGCATAATCGGTAGTTTTTTTAGGGAGGTTACAAAGGTCAGCATCATTGGCAGCATTGATAAATGGTCTCCCGGCGTGTTCATCCAACACGGAAGTCTTACAGATCACATTGTGGGCTGTCTCGTGATTGGATGCCATGCTCCTCAGAACTTGCTGGAGAGTACAGTCGCAGTGCCAGGGGTTGTTGGCAATTCTGGCCCTGGCCTTCAGGTTGTTGAAGGCATTTTTGTGCACACTTTGAATTCGGTTGTCAGACAAGTCCAGAGTCTGCAAAGTTTCAGCTACTCCTTTGAAGGCATGCTCATCGATAAACTCAATGCCGTTTTTGGACAGGTTGAGAACTCTCAGTTGATGGAGGTCCTTAAAAATCTCATTGGGAATAGATGTGATCTGATTGGAGTCCAGATACAATAAGACTGTTTCAGGAGGAAGATCTCTAGGTATTTCCTTGAGATTTGCATTGCTGCAGGTGACATTCAAACCCCCAGAGGAAGAACAAAGACAGCCCTTGGGACACATACTGGCAGAATGAAAGCACAGTATCATAAGAACAAAGCTTTGTAGGAGGAGACACATGGAGAGGGAACGGGTCAGCCACAGGTCTACCAGATTCATGCTGGAATGTCCGCATAATCACAGGCCCATTCCTCATTTACTCCAACAGACAAGCATGGCAACGGTTCCAGCTCTGTCCACACCGCTGATTTCCTTCTTGTGTGGTTCAAAAGGCTGCCGCTAGCACATGTGTCTCTTCATTATTCCTGTCCTTGCTTGGATACCTAAAGGAAAGGGAAGCAGATGCAATTAGCTTTTTTTTGCAAAGGGAGGTACATTGCAATTAAAAGTGCTCTCAGGCATCTGGCATTCTATCTGGGCAGGAGGGTTGGTTACACAGGTAATTTCCACTACCACCACTGGGAGTTATCTGCGTAATGGGAGTCTCCTGTTCAAATTCCAGTTGCTGGGGGAGAAAACTGTCAATAAATAACCACATTTCCGCATGATGTCACCTTGTTTTAGTTGTGCAGAATTAGAGCCAACAGTCCAGATTTCTTACATCTCTACTGGTTCTTTTCCTGAACGCATTCACTTCTACAGTTGTAAAATTTAATTACACCTTCCCACCTTCTTACAATAACATGCATGAATGCAATTTAGCCCTGCATTTGGGCAGCAATGAGAAATAACAATAATATTTCACAGGTAATGGCCATAGGTAGCAGTATCTGTCATGGCTTTTTAATGGATTTCCAATGTGGAATATTTTCTCTATAGACATATCTTACTTGAATTAAGAAATGAATAAATGCATCCCAACCTTCATCACAAACTGTTGCTAAAGACTGACAGCCCAGAATCTCCATAAGAATTGCCTCTCATGTGACCTCCCGAGATTACATTATACCTAGAGGATGCCCTTAACTGAATTTCCAAAGGATTCTCTCTCTATTCTCCAAATAACATATCCCTCCACAATAGATTTTCAACTATGACACATAGCTCCAAGCCCTTTTTAAAATATAAGATGAGAAAAAAAATACTAGCCTTTATGAATTCCCCGATAGCCTATTTTTCCTTTCCAATCATAAATACATGGTAAGGCAAAAGTAGGTTTACAGTTGTTGAGTATGCAAAACAAGAGTTTATTCTTGTATTATTATGTATTAATTATTGTATTGTATTGCATATAAACAACTGTAAGTCTACCTTTGCCCCTTTGAGAATATAAGTTAACCCCTCAAACCTACTCTCTTCTGTAGAGAGGACAGACATCTTTGGGGCCAGTTTGTAGAGGAGATGAGTGGATCTTAGAGAGATTATATGACTTGCCCAAGGTCAAATAGCATGTAGGTGGTAAAGAAAGGACTCAAGACAAAGACTTTGTTGTGACTCATTATTCTCACAATTCTCTCTGTCATCTCCACACCTCTCTCCCCAAATCTATCTGTCCCATGAGGACAGTTAAGATCCAAGTAACATTGCTTGTTTTGATTTCTTATGCTGTTATGTTGCAGCTCAATCCCAAATGGAGGACCCCATGAACCTCTACTGAGGGGCCCCTCTGCGTTGTGTAGGGAATCCATGCCTGCCTTCAGAGGATTCTCTCTCAGGATGGGAGAAACATTCATTCCTCTCACAGCAGTGAGCAACAACATCTTTCAGCATGAGCAACAAATGACTCTCTGCAAACTTATCTTTTCTAAAGATCCCAGATGGATAAATACAGAGGGAAATGACTCCAAATGTTACCAAACTCACAGAAGAGAAGATTAATGTGAGATGAAAATATAATGAACTGGGTTGTTAATCATGGAAAACATGAGATTGGCCACAGCAGAATAGTGCGAATGTGCTTTTGGAATCCTAAGTCCCTTAAATGCCAGAGAATGCTAAAGAAGGACCCCTAGGCTTACTAAGCCATCCATCAATAGCTCACATCATTTACAGTAAATTTTTCTCTTCCTTTCATGTTTTCCTTCAGAATTGCATTGCATGGCATTTAGAGTCTAGTAATTGTCTAAATGGGAGAGAGAAAAAATCAACAGGTATGAGGGGAGAACTTAGACAGGAAAGAGGGCAGCAGAACAAGGCAAAGGATGCTAGGAGTGATGCATGAGAAGGACACAGAAGTTGGGAGAAATGAATGTGACTAGAGAAAATAAAGGGTGTCCATGTCATCAAGCAATTTCCATCAAGTCTTGCTGAAAGGTGGGAAGCCTTCTCTCGAGGACACTCCACATCTCTTCAGAGACAAATTAAGACTCTGTCTGAAGAAAAGTGTTCTCTAATTTAGACTACAAGCTTCATGAAGACAGGGATTTGTTTTGCCTCACATAGAAACAAGTTAACAAAAAGTAGAAAGTACTCTGGGTTTGTATTCCAGCTATAGTCTTTATTAGCAGTGTGCTGCTGAGCAAGTTATTTAAACCTCACTTCCCTTATCTTCACATAAAGATTAAAAAAGCACCTAATTACAAGGTTGATCTGAGAATTATAGGCGATAATCCACAATGCCTAATAGGTAGTTAAGAGCTCAATACTTTTTAGCTATAGTTACTGTTATTATCCTAGATATATTCCCAACTCCTAGCCTAGTGCTTGACATGTAGTAAGGGCTAAATATCTATTGTATGAATGAACCAATGAAGTACTAAAGAATCTAGCTGTGCTTTTTCTTCCCTATGGTAATTACTTTTATTATTTTTAACATAAATATTGGCTCATGAAATGTCTATTGGTTTTAGATCTCAACACAATGGTTTGGGAAAAAATCCTGAGTGCAGGCTGCTAATTGATGAAAAGCAGAATAGAATTGTTTCTTAGTAGGCTCCTCTAGACTTACTCATGTTTCTCCAGAAAGGTCAATCCAATGGTCATGGTCACAGATAGGAAATGGTTAGGGCAAATCTTGAGTTCTCCACATCAGTGTGCAATCCCTCTTGAAATGGAATGCTTCATGCCCTAAATGGTCCACCTATACACTGGATGGAATTCTTATTAGGAGTACAAATTCAGAGTATCCCTTTCATTCAAAGCAGTTGGATTCAAACAAAGACTTTCACTTTTCTCTCTATGATGTTTGATAAAAGGGGAATAAAAGTTTTGGGGATTGGATAGATGCTGAGTTGCTATGATTCAGACTGTAGAGCTTCCACCCTCAGCCAGGACAAAGTGACAAGAGATGCAGGATATAGAGAGCTGAGCCCTTGGATGTCCAGGAGGCAGACAGCAAGGCCAACAGTATCGAGTCAAGATCATCCAGCAGGGAGGATGGGAGGGCTGCCTCTCCACTCTACTATATTGAAATACTATTTCCCAAAGGGACTACCATCTTGTCATTGCCCTAAATTACTGGTTAAGTCAACAGTGGCTCTTAGAACAGGAAGACATGGGAATATGTGCCTCAGAGCAAAAGAGTGGCTATTCTTCTGATATCAGTTATTGTGCAGCAGAGTACAAAGTTAAAGACGATCCTGGAAGCCCACAACTGATTTGGGTAACAATAGCAGCAGCAGCCTACTGCATTTTATATTCTCACATTGTCCACGGTAAGAATTTAATAAATATTTATTGAGCCCTGCTGGCGTGGTTCAGTGTCCTGATAAGGAACAAGACCAACCAAAGGGACAGACCAAATTCAACAGCATCTTTTCTACTTCCTAACTCCCTGTATGCAATTCTCAATTCATTAGACTACTTTATCCTTATCCCTTCACCCCCTTCCAATAGGTCTGGGGGAATTAGGAAGCTACTGTATTTCTGGATACGATGTCAGGGATGAGCTGTTCCCTGAAAGAGGGCCATGTTATCCCTGGACCCATGCCTTGCTCACATTTTCCTGTCACCCATGTTTCTGAGCTACAGGAATTAATGCCAGGATTGGGTGTCAACCATCAAATACTGTTTACAGAAGGAAAGAACATGCCCTTAGCAGATTGCCTGAGAAGACTGTTCTTTCAGTGGTTAACAACCCTGTCTTGTTTCCTGTTTCTTTCTTCTAGTCATTAGGGGACACTCAGGGCTTCTAACCCCAAAACTTTCATCAGCTCTTCTGAGATAATAGAGCACAATTCAGAGAGAAATACCAGACTCCAATTTCTTCCAATTGCATCCCATGCAATTCTGCTACCAAACAGAATAATTCGATTAAAAAGCAAAATTGAATCTTTTAATTCAGGACATACAATTCAAATTAATGAGAAAAAAACCTTGTGACTGGCCCAGCCAGGTGTGGCTCAGTGGTTGAGTGTCAATTCAGGAATTCAGGTCACCAGTTCAATTCTCAGCAGGGGCACATGTCCTGATTGCAGACTCAATCCCTAGTAGGGGGCATGCAGGAGGCATCATCCCCACCCAATCACATGCCTCCTCTGCTATACATCACCTGTTCTTTCCTCCTGATTTTTTAAAACTATTCATTTTTATTCTTCCTTCTATCTCTCCTGTTTTATATTTTCACTGCCTCTTTTTTGTTTAAACCTCCATCATATTATTGTGAAAGAAAGCAAAAATGCCTCCTTTCCAGACTGCCTGCGTACAGTCTTGCCCTGCTCCCAGTCCCCTCTCATATCAGGTTAAAAAATACTCTAATCATGGATTCCCGCTGGTCAGCAATGACCCCCTGTTGTCCATAACAATCCTTCTATTCTTATCCTGTCTCCCACGCTTCCTTACCCAGACACAGAAACCTGAGCTCAATAAACATAGATCAATGACATGCAAGCTGAAGATGAATGGCACTTCTTCTCAAAGACATCTGTTTAGTTTTATTATCAGACCATGAGATTTCAGATGGTAAAGTCAGTGTCTTACCCATTTTATATTCTCACATTGCCCATGGTAAGAATTTAATATTTATTAAGCCCTGCTGGTGTGGTTCAGTGGTGGAGTGTTTACCTATGAACCAGGAGATCATGGTTTGATTCCTAGTCAGGGCACATGCTGGGGTTGTGGGCTCGATCCCCAGTGTGGGACGTGTAGGGGGCAGCCGATCAATGTTTCTCTCTCCACATTGATGTTTCTATGCCTCTCTTCCTCTCTGAAATCCATAAAAATATATTTAAAAAAGGAAACGAATTAAGACCCATTCTCATTTCATTATAAAACAATTGTCATTTATTTGGCACTTATTGCATGCCAGGTATTAAGTGATGATCTCATTTAACAAGATGGTAAAATTGAAATTCTGACTTGGTTCCTGGTTAAGTGGATATAGAAATCCAAAGTGAGGTGGCAAGTTGCCATGTGAAGGTTGACTGATACGTGTACCACATC